TATATATATATATATATATATATATTGATAGAATGATAGAGAGAGAGAGAGAGCTTACTTGTACCATAATATGAAAAGAATATCAAGACAGACATTTACATAAGCCACTGCAGATTATAAATGCATCCATACACAACCTCCTTTTTACTTTAATTTTCTTCCTTTCGTTTTCTCTCTATTTTTTTTTTTCCTTCTTTTCTTTCTTTTTTTTTTTAAAAAAAACTATTTCTTTTCTAAATCGCCAGTTTTTTTTTTTTTTTCCATCATCATCATCATCATCTTCACTTAAACAATCGCATAAATCTCCACACAAAACCACCCGGCCTCACACTATGACATCTTCGCAAGTCCTTGTCGTCATTATTATTATAATAATTATTATAATTATTATAATAATTATTATGATGATTCCTTCTACCACCACCACCTCCTCCTCCTCTCTGATCTATTGAAGTCCGTCGGGTGATGGCCCCTAATGCGATTAGGGACTCTTCACTGGGAGACTCCACACGTCTGGTGTACGCTAATTGATCGACCCACATTTCCCGCCTGGGATCGTAGGGAAGTCTATACCGCACATGTTGGCGTAAACGTTTTTTTCTATTTCCCTTTGGGCGTGTGGGCTCTACACAATCCGGCTGTGGTCCACGGGCCACCGGTGGTTTTCCCGTTACGGGAGATATAAATACCTGCGGGGCTCTGTGTCCATAGATACCATTTGGAGCATTAGGAATAGTGGATTGATTTTGATTTTGTTGTTGATAATAATGATGATGATTGTTGGATCCATTTAGAATACTGTTATCTGTGCAATTGTTGGATCCATTTCCATTAGGGTTGCGGGATTGTGGTGTTACTGGGAATGGGGATCTATTTAATAGACTCATATCATACTGTTGTTGTTGTTGATATTGTTCATATTGGGGTCTCTGCTGGGGAATGTACGGCAATTTATTATTATCTGCCGGTGGAGGGAGAAGAACAGTCGTCATTCCAACAGATGTATCATGTCCATTCATACCAGGAGGAATACATTGTTGTTGTTGTTGTTGTTGATGCTGTTGATACTGTTGTTGATATTGTGGAGGGTGCTGTCGATATTGATGATGATGATGATAGTGATGATGACGGTGATAATACTGTTCTTGTTGATGACAGGGAGGATGTGGAAGCATTATGTGGTGATAAGAAAGAGAAAGAGAGAAAGATAATATATATATATATATATATA